TCTTTTCCAAAATATATCTTGCATATGCCTTTCTTGTTTCCATCTTTTGATCGTAGGTATTCCTTCCCCGCTTGAGTCCTCTATGCCAGGGTTGCCTCTCAATAACAATAATTTATTTGTGGTTAACACATCGAAATCCTTGGCGTCTTCCCTCACAGATAATAGCGGCCGGTCATTCGGTATTCGTTAAGCTTCACAAAAAATGTCTCCAGCGTTTCGTCATTCAAGCTCTGGCTTTTAATTATGGCGCTTAAAATACGCTTGATAATTCCTATAAGTCTTTCCCATAGCCCATCTCTATGACTGGCATATGGTGGGTTGAAGTGCCACTCGATGTTTCTTTTCAGTAACTCTTCATGGACTCTTGTTTGAGGACCTTCGAAGTACTCTTTAAGCTCGGCGTGACAGCCAACAAAATTAGTCCCTCTGTCACTGAACATCATCATCGGTGCACATCGGCGATTTATAAATCTACGTAAGCTAGCACGAATGAATCAGTAGTTAACGTATGAAGCATCTCAATATGCACAGATCTCATTTTCAAACAGGTGAATAAACAGCCATATCTTTTACATAGGGTTCTGCCTCTCTTCACTACAAAAGGTCCGAACAAATCCACCCCAACGTACCCAAATGGATAATTCCCTTCAGAAACTTGCCACGCTGGGAGTGGTACCAACATCTGCTGTGCTGAACGAGCATTTCGGAGTTTAAATTCCATGCACTTATCAATTATTTTACGGACAGCAGTACCTCCCTTCACTATGCAGAACTTACATCGAATTCTTGATAGTACTTGCGAAGTACCCAAATGACCTTCAAGAACATGGTAGTGTCTTATAATGAGATCAGTGACTGGATGGTAGCAAGGTAATAAAGCCGGATGACGGGACTCACATGACGATTCTAACATTTGTAGACGTCCACCAACTCTAGCGATCCCTTCGGAAACTATCGGAGATAATCTATCTAACTGCACCTTGAAATCTGCGAAATCAGGACTATCCTTCTTGGCAATCTCACCCCACGCTTCCCGCTGAGCAGCCCTCAAAATCGCTAACTCTGCATTTCTGATATCTTCGACCCTCAAGGTCCCACATTCATATTTTCGTATCCTGCAAGTTGCATGACCTTTAAATACGTAACATATCGTGCCAACCACGCAACAGCCTTCAGTATTTTGTACCAAGAAGAATAATATTTAAAAAGTGGATGTAAACCTGAATGTCTTTCTTGAGTAGATGTTAAACTGACACTTGTCTTCAACTCCAAGACACACTCGTTTATCGGTGGTTCATCTTCTCTACTAGGCCAAGTACTATCAGCCCGTGGCAAGAACTCTGTACCTTTCCACCACTTACCTTTAACCACATTCATATCAATAACTCCTCGCGAGGCTAGATCAGCTGGATTTTTTCCAGACGGTACGTACCTCCACTGTTCGATGGTTGTTAGTTCACAAATTTGAGATACTCTTTTAGCTACAAAACATGCATATCTTGCAGACTTATCGCGTATATAATGTATCACAGACATCGAATCAGTCCAAAACGTTACAGGATACTTGGGATAATCCAACTCCTTACACACCCTTGTGAATAACTGAGCAGCTAGTAAGGCTGCAGTCAGTTCCAATCTCGGAATCGAAACCGTCTTTAGAGGTGCAACTCTATATTTACCCATCACTAGGTGAACATCTATATCATCCCTTTATGTGGTTCTGATGTAGACGGCAGCTCCTTGTCCAACTTCAGAGGCTTTAGAAAAAACATAGAAGTCAATTATATCATGATTTCTCGATGGTTTAAGTGGGCGTGAACGGAATGTAGATTCAGCGTTCTTAAATTGTTAACCCACCCCTTCCACTCTTCACTGTGTCTCTCACTCAATGGGTCATCCCACTGTGACCCTTTCCTGCGTGTCTCTTAAAATAACCTCCTAGCCGGAAGTAGATAAGGTGCTACTAATCCAAGTGGGTCAAACACGGACGAGAACACAGAGAGCACACCTCTCCGAGTAACTGGCTTATCAATATCACCAACACTAAACCCAAAGGTATCAGAGTTCACATCCCATCGCATACATAATATAATATAATATATTTCACATAAATTAAGCATTTACATGATTCACATACCGTTTGTACAGGCATGATCATATTTGACAAGTGCAGTCTGAAATTGAACACTTTTATGAAATTAAAATTTGGAAAATGAATAGAAAACTTTACAAGAATAGAATATAAGGTTTTGGTTTAATTCTAAATTATAATATTTAATGCACTCATAGTGAGTCAGATTCATGCGGGAATTATGAAATTTTGCGTTAATGGAGAGGTGTGAGGATATACGCTATAACCAGGTGTTATCGCGCAGCGACATCGGTTACCGCGTTCACGGCTACAGGCGTTATAATCGCCTATTTTTTGGGAAATAGATCATATTTGACTAGTTTTAGACTTCTGGAGCCACACGGCATTATTTTGTTCATAGTAAAGCGTAAAATTGTATATCATAGCTCGGACGGATTATCAATGAAGAAGTCATCCTTTTGAAGAAAGTTCGCATAGAAAGAGTATTATTTGCATTATAGTGCGTTGAGGGTTTGTTTTTCGCAAGTTGTTTCAAATATTAAGGTCGTAAATACACTGCAGGCAATGGCTGTTGTCATTCCAGTGAATCTATGAGAATCTGGCCTGTGAAAGAGAAATAGCATGCAGACATAGGTTAGATGTGTGTTTTGAACATGTCAAACACTTCTGTTATCATCCGGGATGACTGAAATATTCCGTAACACATCGACGACATTATGCGATGAATGAGACAGGCTGCCGAATTTCCTGGTGATTATATCTATTTTGATGAAGTTCCTAGTTAAAAGTGCTTGGGTGAAGATGTGATAATAGTTTAATTGACATTTGCACATGGAATTCCAGAAGGCCTTAATTGCTCAGTGCATGAAATGGCATCAGAGTATATTGACATCAGTGTTCATCGTGTCTCGAAGAATAGTATAAATAGTCCTTCTCAAATGTCAGAGTACTTAAAATGAGTATCAGCTTTCTGTTGATTAGTAGCTAGCAGCTGTGTCACACAACTACTACACCTGTTGCATAGGTTATATCAATCTTAATAATTATTTTGTTTCACATCACCAAGATATTCTGAGATCCTTAATGACTTAATTGTGGCTATGAAAGATGCACTTATAGCCCTTATATTTCAAGCAGTTATTACTAAACAAGTTATCTGTAAGCATTTTGTGATGTTCTGGTTACAATGCTTCAGTGTATAGGGTTACTGCCTGCTTCTGTGAGTTAAGGGATATTTGGTGAAAATCATGATACAATGAAGGTTCCTATAGACTCACTATGAATACTGCAAACTGTTGATAAGAAACTGCCTCAAAGGAAAAAATGCCGAACAGCTAGGAAATACTACCTCAGTCTCGATGGTTATTACCTTTTGTATTTGTAAATCATCCTTCAAAAGCTCAGATTAACGGCAAACCATCCATGGTACCCCACAGGCCCTACAGAAATTTGTGAGAGACCTTACATGTCAGGTTGTCTTAGGAATTGTAAGGTTGCAGATATTTCAGTTTACCTGTCACTGAAATATCACTTATGTACTTCACGATGTTCTTTTCATTTGTGCACTATTACACTATATTTTATCTTAACTGTGTACAGTGTTCATTGTTGAGGGTTTACAATTTAACTCTTATCATAGCCTGTTGTAGTTATTATTATTTGCTTCCTGCTATCCTTTAGAAGATGAACAATAGGTGTGACAGTGAAAACCACAGAAGAATGCTGTCATAAACGAAGAATGAGAAAGGAGAATGAACCATTTTCAGCAAAGGTAGGCAAATCTAAAGCGTTTAACTTTAATATTACTTCTTTGTTTACTTTTCTGCAGCTATCCGGTAACGTCATTCAACCCGGTCGCATTGCTTCGACATTGTCCAAAGTATTACGACGAACAACTGCGTAAAGACATGTGCTTATTATTATTTTTGATTAAATATATTTAACATCCTACTTACCAGACCTTTTTTATTTAATCTGATTGTGGATATATTTGTCATGATGACTAGATGCAGGCGCCAGTTATTAATAAGACCTGACGAAGTAATTGGTGGCATATAGTAGTGTAAGGTAAATCTAACTACGAGTGCTACAGCTGAACGAATTCAATAATTTGTCTCGTGTAGTCTGAAATTTACGCTACGTGTTAACAGCCTTAGTCATATGGAATGACATCACGCTTTAAGTGAAACATTAGTAATGCAATACTTTAGAATACACGTAACCGTATGAGAACTGGAACTCGAATGCAGTGCCTAAGTTATGCCTACTATTGTCATTTGTCCCTAAAGACTTCTATATGACTATGACCGACATCGTTCCTACGCAATTACACTTACGTATAGTTAAAGTCCTAGAGAGCACCGGTCTAGCATGCCGTGCTCAATAAGGGAACACATGAATCGAAAGACAACAAGATTGACATGAAAATTGTATTTTACTTATGATACAAATTCAGTTTATTTACATATTCAGAGTACGATTGATTCCTGCGGCTACTTCTACTACATAATTCCTGGCAAACACTTCTCCAAATTCGTCATGAATTTTCCTCAAGCCCTTGACCACAATACTTAGGTAGCTTTCGAATGCGGCACTTCGATTTTGAGGGACAACAGCTGACGTGCATTGAGATGCGAACAAGTCGCGTGACCACGCCCATTGTTTGCAATTCTGCATCACATGGTTAACTACAAAAGGTGAAACAAAAAACGTAAAGATAACTATAAACTGAATGTTACACGTGCAATGATGGTAGTGCTTGTGTCTTGTTTCCAATTAAGGCAATGTACACACGAATAGTTTAATAAAAATTACAACTTTCCGTATATAAGAACATTAATTAATTAAATTTCTGTCGACATAAATTAAAAACGGAGTCATAAAAACGCAAATATACCTGTGAAATACGGCTTTCTGAAGTGGACCAAAAGCAAGTGTCGGCAGGGGTACCGACAGGTCTGAAATGTAAAGCACGTGCAGGTGCAAGCACTCAGATCAACCTGCACTGTATTCCCATTTTCTTTGAAAAATACATAATCAAAAGATTCAAACTCAACAGTAGCCCATCGTCGCCATTGGTATTCACGTATTACCTTCCTCGCGGCGTAGGGCGTCAGCAATCGTATTATTGGGATTACACGTTGTGCACATGGATAAGTGAAGCATCGCGACTGGGCAATAACCGCCTCCTGTTGTATTCTTGAAAAACTTCGTTCATACCATTTATACACCTTTAGCATACTTTTATGCAGACTATCACATCTTTGCAAATACCGTTTCATTTGCTTGTGAGAGCTCTCGACGCGATTATTGGTATCATTCCCAAAAGTCAGCACGTTGTCTCTAAAACATGCTGCCCACAATTCTCGTCTATGCATCCAACGACGTTGTAGATATTGACTGACAGTAGGATCCAATCTGCTAATGACTCTGAAATAGAAATTAAATCTGGAAAATGAGAACATTAAAGGCATTACTCTGATCTCCTTTTACACTGCACTAAGCGGCATAAGTAGTTCTTAACAATGGGATTTCTTGTCTACAAATAAAATGTGAAGTATGTTTTGAAAAACTCACTTTACGACAGAATGCTCGACAAACATGGAAAGAACACAAAACAATGTGCGCTTGTCTGTGCGTTAACTTGACGGCTGCTATTTCAGCTTGCGCACAATCCATTATGAAAGATTCGGTCTTGGAGGTGTCTTCCATTATTTGACGAAAACAATCTAATATCCAAACTACATCTCGTTTGAATTCTTTTCTAGTCCACGCAAATAAAACCGGTCGTCCACGACCGAAATTATCCGTCACAAGTAACTGGAACAGTGAATACCTGCACGTTGATTAATGGATTGGTAAACTTACTTCCCTTTATTTGTATTATACGTTGAATCGATACCAACAACTTCAGGGAACTGTTTATACATTTCGATTTGCTCATCAGTTGCAAAACAAATTCTTGTTAGTGAATTCCTGATCGGTTCATCGGAATAATACTCCATTAACTTCCCACGGGATTTTAGGAATTCAAAAATGTCACGACGACTCGAAATACCTTAAGTATGTAACAAGTACGTCAACGTTACCTTTATTAACTGCGGCTTTCATATTTTTAACGTCAATGCGAGTTATATCCTTGTGGTACTTCTCCTTAACATGCATTATTATTTCATCGGATGAGTGGGATTGCTGAAGAAGTGGTTCAACATTTTCTTTCTCTTCAACTGTTAGTCGTCTAAACCATGAGTCATTCTGCATGTACACCCTGCTGCATGGATGGTTATGTACCATATTGTGGGAAGCAATTATGAATTCACCACTACGCAAAACCACGCGAAATGAAGACGAGCAATTGCAACATTTAGACCTGAAATATTCATGAAATAATACTACACTTCTTCTTACGACTTATTTTTCAATTTCAATCCAGGTTTCGTACGATTCACTCCAAAAGTGCATTTAAAACCAACAAAAGCGTATTTAAATCTGTCATCCGGTATCGTTTTGCTATAAATATGAACATAGTGAGTGCAGGACAACTTTATTGTTAGCATTAAATGACTTCCTCACTTTTTGGAATTCTGCCAGTGACTTCTCAAATTCATCCCAGCTCAAGAAACGCCTTCCAAGTATTAATTCACCAAAAATTCCACTTAAGTCTGTGCTCCTTTCACTCGAATTTACTACCTGCAACGGACTACAATAAATTTATCAATTAGTATCTATCTATGTCACAACTATTCCAAGATAAATCGTAAAAAAACAACATTGAAATACAGGCATGATCAATAACCATCAAGAAAATACCGCACGTAAAACCTAAATTACAGAAAAACACAAGAACCCACCGGTTCGTTGACATCGCAAGCAACCGATAGACCAAACAACGAATTGTACGACACACAAAGCCTAGTACATGCACAAACAAAGAAAAACAAAGCGTTACAATAGTCTAATTCACGTTTATAGTCATCACATATACTGGCAAACGAAGCAAACACAACCACGCCAAGACGGCACCCGACAGAACGCACCCAAGGACAATTCAAACTCCAATTGACCGCCACTGTTCTAGCCAATGAAAGACGAAAAAACCTGAGTCGCGGGAAATATAACCACGTTATAACGTATATCCTCACCCATGGAGAGAGGTGATATACATGTGCTGGAGTAAGCGACACTGGATCCAGACCGTTATTTTTATCATTTTATCAATCAATAAGAGTTCGGAAGTTTATAAAAATCCACATCAGATGGTAAGTACAGCATTATATTGGTATTAGCAGATAGAAGGGACAAATTGGTCGCAAAGTTAACTTTGCGATGTTGAACAGAATTCAGAATGGAATTTGTTCCGTTGTTCATCGTAAGTGCTAACAATATTCTGGATACCGCTCAAGTAATACAAATGTAGAAAGCAGGATTACTGTTCATTAGCAGTGCTTCAGTGCAATACCTTCGAGAAGTGAAGAAAACAGAAGCAGCCAGCAGATAATGATAATTTAAGTAAACAATATGCGATAACCGCAGTGTTTATTCTCCTTTTTTATTACTAGGAATTTCTAGTCATTGAGTTTTATAGTGTTACATACCAACGGTTAGTTTAAGTTTATAGTAGTAAACAACATAATGCGCGTTCAACTGGTAGAGTATCAACAGGTAAATCTCCTACAGTAGGTGCTCTGTCTTCTGGAACTATATGCTTCAAAACGTCTATGCTGTTCGAGACCCACTTAGTCAGGCGAAAGCCAGCCTTAGCTAACACCTCAGTAATGCTTGTTGCAAATTTAATGGCAGACTTATCATCATCAAAGGAGGCTAAACAATCATCCACATAGAAGCAACAATCCCTCAGATCATTAGAACCGAATGTGGACACTGCCTTTCGTAGGCAAAATTAGCACAAAATGGGGAGGACGTGGCACCAAATGGATGGACTGTCATCCTATATTCTGACACTTTACCACAAGGACCGCCATCAAACCACAAGAACCTTAAGTGATCTCTGTCACTCTCTGGCACCTTCACCTGTAGGAACATTTCCTCAATATCAGCAGCGACAGCAACTGTAAACTTTCTGAATCTTAACAGCAGTCCAACTAATGAGCTCATGCAATCTGGGCCACTATACAGATTATCATTTAAAGAGACTCCTTCATGTTCCGCAGAAAATCGAACACCACACGGAGTTTACCTGGCCTTCTCGGATTAAAGACGGGATGATGGGGGCAAATACCACTTTCCTGGCTCACTCTGATTAACTAGTCTTTCAACGTAACCCTTTATTACGTGTTGGTTGACGACATCCTTATATCTGGCCCAGAGTTCTGCATCCATCAGGAACTTCTTCTTCAAACCTATTAGTCTCTTAAAGGCAACTTTTCTATTACAAAATAACTGTCCATTTTGAATCTCCCTGGTAGGCCAAAACTGAAACACCCATTTTCGTATTTACAGGTGCCAATGCAGTTGAAGATTGAACGATCAATTCACGGTTGTTTGCTCAAACCCAACTTCCCTATATTTTCGCGGAGGCATCAATACGACAGTCATCGTCTCATCGGTCGCTGTTCAGAAAGAAGTCAGGAGACAACAATCAGAAGTAATATTGTGATTTATTATTGTAATATTTGTTCACAGACCTTAGTGTTTATATGTTGGTGTAACCATAAAGAATCCTGGGGTCAACAATTGGTGTTTTGGTTTTTTCGTCCGTTATTACTAAGCGTTTCTGAGAAACTTCAAGGGACAGCGTGAGCCCGAGCGTAGCAAGAGCTGGGCATTAACGGTTTACGAGACGTGACCGACAGTTTCTGACGGGAGAAACAGATTCTGGCGGATTCAGACAGTTGGTTAAAGTTTGGATAGACACCGTTCATCTTTCCTGGTGCCGGTCAAGTCCTCTTTGAACAAGCAATATCTGGACCTCTTTTGGAATTGGGTCAAGTTCAACAATGCCTGGGTCAAAGAAGGGACAGAGTGTCTTGGATGCAAACAGGAAAGTAAGTCATGGTTACTTGTCTGTTAATTGTAACGATGTGTCTGATGTTAAGTATGACATGGTTGATGCTCCTGTTTCGCCGTTCAAGGATAATAGGAACATCAAACTCCCTAAATTTGAACTAGGATGTTTCGACGGAATCCCAGCTGATTATTTACAATTTGTAAAGGAGTTTGAGATCATGCTGATTGGTTTTTTAATAACTGATGAAATGAAGTTAATGTATTTGCTGAGGTATTGCACTGGAGATGCTTCAAGAGCTATACAGTGCTGTAAGCTCATGCCCCCTAATGAGGGATACGCTGAGGCTATGAGCATATTGCGTCAAAGGTTTGGAAGACCTTCAATGATTGTAAGGAACGTATACGAAGCTGTCAAAGGTAACGGCAGTCAACTTCAAGATGACTCCAAGGCACTTACTGGGTTTTTAGATAATCTTATGACTTGTAAGAATACCTTGATTTCGATGAATTGCATGAATGACCTCAACTCGAGTTTTATACTAGAAGTAATAGCGAGACGCCTACCTACTCGACTGCAAAGGAAGTGGGTGAAGATGTAATTTAACTACAAACCTAGTTTATTAAATTTAAATAATGCTTATCCATGCCTGTACATTTGATGTGTCCTACACAGGTAGGAAAAAATGTGTATTTTATTAAAACATTATTATTAAGTATGATTGCTAATCGTATATGTAATTTATCATATCGATGATGCCTGTAAACTGGCGTCCCTCATGTACAAAATGAGAATATACTATTATTATTATTAAGATAAGCTCCCGTATGGAGGATGAGGGTATCGAGCCAAAATTTGATGATATCATGAAACTAGTAAAAGATAGTGTCAACCAATCGATGAGCAAGTTTGCCAGAATATTGAATCTCACCCCTAGAATAGAGCAGTCTGAGGGTAAAACGCAATCATTGATGACGAAAGGGCCTCAGAGAGGTGGACATCGAGAAGGCTCCATGATGTCTAGTAATGCATATAGACCTAGTGAGTGTAACAGGTTTCGTAGTACATCCTCAACAGATAAGTTACAAGATGCAAGACAAACACAGTCGTGTTTTACACGTTTGCAAGAGGTGCATGCAAAGGTGAGCTGTGAACCAGTGAGCAAGTTCAGTGATAAGCTATATGTAAACTCCAGGCCTGACTCCGAATTGTGTGACGATAACGGTGCGGTGAAGAAGTCTGTAGTTGCAACTGGTAAGCCATTGTTGAATAGAGTGTCACAGAATAGAGTTGCTGCTTCAGAGTGCAGTTCTGACTCCATAAGTTTACAAGGTATTACCAGTCAGAGTGAAGTTATAAAACCTTTTAGGATTTGCGAGGAGGAACCAAAATTGTCTACTTCTGTTATTAAAGAGTGTCAATCACGTCTCATAAACCGTTAATGCCCAGCTCTCGCTACGCTCGGGCCTACGCTGTTCCTTTGAGTTTTCAGAAACGCTTAGTTATAACGGACGATGAAACCAAAACACCGATCTGCCGCTTGTTATTT